TGAGATTTTGTATTTGCATTTGTTTAATTTTTTCGAATACGAATTCGAATTCAAATATGAAACAAATATTAATTTCAATTTGTATTTGTATTTGTTTAACAATAAGAATAGTTAAGGAATCATATACGAATATTGAATCGATTTGAGCATAAGTTAAATATTAGTCAAAATGTCAAATATCACTTTAAAATAACTTTTCTTATACTCTGTATTTTTTATGTAAATGCATGCTATGACTTAATTTGTGTTTTTTAGAATTTAAATTTAATTGATTAATGCATTTTTAGATGGTGCACAATGTGCTAAAGTGAATTAATCTTATGATTAATAAATATAAATCTATTTCAAACTTTTTGAAATAAACACTAACACACACATATTAGAAATTATACTTATAATGTGTGAAATCAATTAATAATTGTATATATCAAAGTAAAAAAAACTCCAATTTTATTCTTCAAATCAGATACATAATTATTTGTATTGTATTTGATATACATATGAACAAAAAATGATTTGTATTCGTATTTATATTCTGGTTTATTACAAATGGGCTTGAAATGTGTATGCAAAAATGTATATATGGGCTACACTTTGAGAGTATTGCTATCTTTTAAAAGTTATTATAGTGTAATTACTATTATTATTAATATTAATATTTTTATTACCATTATTATTAATCGAATATATTTGATTAATATTCAAATCGAATACATTCATATTCTTATTTGTATTTGATAACAACTCAAATCAAATTTAATATTCTTATTTGTATTTGAATTTTTTGAATTCAAATCGTGAATTCGAATCGCAAATCGAATACAAATTATTTGATTCGTTTAGAAGTTACCCTCTAAAATACAAGTCTTAACTAAAATAGGAAAGTACACCTCTTCGTTTCTTTGAATTATTCTTACCAGAACGGTCCGTGAATTACCTACCTCCCTATTTTATTTCACGCGGAATGAACAGAGAAAGTGATAGCTGACCATCCTCTCTATAGACGCTGGCCTTGTAATTCCACTTGCTTTACCGAAAATTCTCGGGTCGGAAAAAGTCCGGCTGAATATCTCGCCCTTCTTTTCCTGATTCCTTATTCAAGTTAGGGATTCTGGGAAAAGCTACAGCATCCAATCGTTTGTCTTCTGGGCGTGCTATCGTGAGTTGTCATATCGTCCAGAAATGGATCAGATTCTGAACAAGGCGGGTTCCTACTGGTTTAGCAAGAGAGCAAACAAGGAGCTGAATTCCGTCGGAGACGACATAAACGTAACCTCCCTTTCTCCGATCTATTAGTTTTACCTCTTTAAATTGCATATATTGGAGTTAATTTGCATAATTATGTGGGAATTTCTTAGCTGTTACATTTTATGTTTGATTAGCATCAGTTTCTAAGATTGTTTTAATACAAGGGATTATTAATACCTGAAATACTGAATATGATATAATCCATGCCAGTGAATTTAGTGGTCAGATCATTAATGTCCCTTCCATGCTTTCATTAACTATGAATTGTTGGTTTGGAATGAGAAATTATTGCTGGTTACTCCAAATTCTAAACTATAACCGGTGGGCGTAGCTCAACTGGTAGCAAGGGAGTACCACAAGGGTTCGAATCCCGGCAACTGCGATGAGGGGTTACTATGCTGAATACCGGGGACAGAGCCCCACTCTCTATCTGTCATATTGTGATTATAGTCCAATTTACATCCTCCCATCATGTCGTCCGGTCGGTGTTGGGGGCCCTCAGGGATGGGGTGTCATCCTTTTTTTCTAAACTATAGAAGTGATGTAATGCAAATTGGTCAGTGTGCATGATTTAAAACCTGGGCATGAAATACAGACAGCTATAAATGCATAAGATGGATGTGCTGTTCCTAATGTGAACAAAACAAAACCTTTTCAGATGTTAAAAAAACATCACAGTGCATATTAACTCATACAGTACGGAGTAGTAGATTTTGTAGGCTTGTAGCTATGTTGTGTTTGTTAAGTAAGTGGTTCGAAAAGGATCCCATAATGTTGAAAGTTCTCATGCATGAATTATCTCATTGTATAGTACTTTGAGAAAGCATAATCTTTTTATTTGCTTGGCTCCCATTAATTAACAGAAAACAATACGGTGTATCATTTTTCCTGTGTTTGGGGCAGAAAGGATGTTGTTATTTATTTTTGTTCTTTGGAAAATGATGACTTACTCTTTTGAAGAGAGAAAACCATTTTACTGAACCAGTGTTTTTAGGGTTTGATCATATTATTGTATTATTCAAAGAACAACTAATTTTCTAGAAAAAAACATCATCTTCTAGTTTATCCCGCACAAAAAATTATTTTTAGCGTTGAAACATTTCATTAAACATATTCATTTTCTAAAACCTATTATACAAATGTTGTCAAATTGATGGCCAAGTTTTAGATCTAAATTTTGTTATATTAAATTCATAAACTATTACATTTTTCATCATATTTCCCCTCATGGTCCATCAAATCAACACAATGGCATTTGATCAGATCATCATATGGTAATAGTGTAGCACATAAACTATGTTTTTCTTTTCTGCTTCTCTCCTTTGTTTTCTCCATTATTAGCCTCTCTGCTTTCCGTTGCCATAGTCTTTTGATTATATGGTAATAGTGTAGCACATGGGCCCTTTTGTTTTTCTTTTCCGCCTCTCTTATTTCTTCTCTCCATTTTTAATTTCTCTGCTTTCCTTTGCCATAGTCATTGCAAGTCAGTATCCAAAGCGGAACCCAATGGCTAGTCAACAAATTGAAAGGTTTGCATCATTATATCTTTTACTTAGCTGCCTTAATTTTTTTTCTTCTCATTCTCCTTTAATATGAGAATATGCTTTCAACTTTCAATATTTTATCATGTCTTACCTATGATGCACCTACATTTTTTTGTGGTGCTGTATCCATACATCCGAATGTATCATACCCAATACTCACTCTAATGCGCACTATGCATATTGGAGATGTGTCCGGTATTGTATAAACGTATAGAACCAATTTGTAAAAAAGCCAAAAGGATAACTTTACCATCAATTCCTATCCCTAAATCAATACCTGTATTAGCCAACTTTTTTTGGCAATTGTATTGCTATTGTTTTCATTTCATTCAGTTTTCAAGTATTCCATCAATTAGCCGTAAAGTAGTATTGAAGTTCTTTCTATTTCTAATGTCCTACTATTGATTACTCTTAATTGAAATCTAAATTTCGAAATCCTATCATGATTATGAACTTACATTACCATAGTATAGCTATTGGAATTATGAAAACATGGAATCATTTTTTTGCAATCAATTCTTATATTTTCATTATTTGCAAATGTACCTGATCAGAATCTGTTTTTTTGTAAGGCGAATCACATGTTCTTAAAACTTGCAATCTCGCCACACCTATATGGATGGCCATATTTGCGTATTGATGCATGTGCATACTCGTCGACCTATATGGAGTTTTCCTAAATATGACTTGCATCATCATAGGTCTTTACAGAGCTTGCAAAACAAATAAAAAGGATTTCTATAGTACCACTAGTATTTAAATAGATTTGTATTTAAAAAGAGAGAAATAATGACATTCCATTAGCATATATTATTGATTCTCCATAGTGTATTTCATTTGCAGGAAAGATGCAGAAGTCATTGTCAGAACATCTAAAGGAGTACGACTTGCCAGAAGGTATTTTTCCCAGTGATGTAACACATTACGAGTTCAATGAAGCGACAGGAAAGCTCGTTGTCAACATACCGTCAAGTTGTGAAGTGGGCTACAGGGATAAGTCTGTTTTGCGGTTTGATACCACAGTGACAGGGTATCTTCAGAAAGGAAAGCTAACTGACATTGAGGGAATGAAAACAAAGGTGGTGATGGTTTGGGTAAAAGTCACTGCCATTGCCTCTGAAGGACCAAAGCTCCACTTCACAGCTGGGGTACAGAAGACCAGGAAAAGGGATTCTTATGAGGTTACTAAAGCTGGATTCAGTATAGATAAATTTTAGAGTGTGGTCAAATAGCAGTCACCGCATGAATATATGTTGTAATGACTTTTGCTACCTTCTTTACTACTTGTTTCTTTGCCCATTTTCTTGTCACGTGCTTTAATGACATTTCCTAAGGCTGCTGCGTTCGCTGCAACATTCCTAATATTAAGTTACAAAGTGTATCTGTGTATGTATGTTCATTCCATGGATGCGGGCATTTTCGTTAATTTGTAACCATTGTTTTCATGCTGAACAAAACATTAAGTGCTGTTTATGAAAATTTCCAAAAAATGAGATAAAAAACTTGCAGCAGCCATGAATCAAACCCAGGTAGTGTGTAATAAATCCGTGAAAATTTCACGGCATGAAAAAGAAAAAAACGTTTTTAACACTTGAATCATGTTACTAATAAAAAGCTGCACTTTAATGTGTTAACAACATTTCTAATAGAAATTGTTATTGATTTTGATCATGAAGTGGAATATCGTGTCCCACTGTCCCCCGTATATGCTTGACAAAAACTGTTGCAAAATTTCAACTATAATTGTGGTGAAGAAACATATAATCATCTACAAAACCTTCCAAAAAATGAGGCTAATAGGTTTGGTAATTATAGATAAGACCATAAGAGATGTTGAGCAATTGATTTTACTATCTTTGATGCCCAGCATATCCATTGGATGAACCTGGTTATGGTCTCGTGCAAAAAGAAAGAATGGTAAAATAGTAATGGAGCTTTGATTGGACAAAATAGATTTTATTTTAAATTGCACAAAATGAAATTATATTTTAAGCAATGGCCTAAAATAACCTTAAAACGCCCTCACATAGTCACATATATATCGTCAAACCTCTCCATCCAACCTTACATTTCTTCAGATATGATCATTACCCCCCCCCCCCCCCCCCCCCCCCCCAATTAGGATGAGATCATTTCACTCTAAAGAATTTCAATTTGTTTATTCTTGTAAAAAGACTTGATAAGTACTTCCATAGTCTCAATATAGTTTGCAATCTCTGTTTTTCTTTATTGACACAGTTTGACAAGTACCTATACAACTTTCTATGTAGTAAGGTTTGAATTTGTAAGTTTTATTTATTCAACATATTGTAAATTAATTTGGGACTAAATTACAAATAAATTTGGAAGGAAGGAACTATTATTTTAAAAGTAAAGCATAATTAGGCTCTTGTAGTCTTGTGTTGGGTTTAGCAATAGTGTCCCAATGAGGCATCTACCACTCTAGAAGAAGCCACCACCCCGACGGAGTTCCTCAACCTGCCACTATCAGGTGCCTCCGGCTTCACCCGCCACGGCAGCAAAATGTCCCACCCACCACATGCCTTGCCAGTGCAGCTGGTGAGAGACTCGCAGTAAAGCTGTCTCCCGTCCAATGCTCGAGCAAAACTGGATTCAGGCTGACCACCATTAACCAATGGATCCTTCGCTAGCGCCTTAGCATCCTTCAAGAACCTTAGAAAGATCAAATCCCCGGGCTCTAAATCATCCGCTCTCGAAAACATGTTTCTACGAGTCTTATAACTGTTATTGTTGTTGTTATTGTTGTTACTATCAGCAGTATTATCTGACGAAAAAGATTCGCTTGACAAGGAAACATCAAGAGCGTCAGAGTACAGAAGCTCTCTGTCCCCTTGACACCCTGGAGGTGGTTTGGGAACGGGCCAGATTAGCCCGTTAGACCATTTGGAGTGGTGAGGTATTAGGAGTCCAAAATGCGAAAATGGCATATTTGGACTCCTAATTTCATACATTGGTGGAGTGTAGAGGGTATTAAAAATGGGTTTGGGGAGGGAAGGGGTTAAATTTGGAGGAGTTTTGGACAGCCAAAAAGTAAATGGAAAGGAAAAGAAAAAGGGGGTGGGGGCGTACCTGATGTGCGCAGGCTGGGAGCACACGGCTAAGCTGAGTAATTTTCCTCGCTGATGTCATGTTCATGTCAGCATGAGGTCAGCATGCACTACCAAATTTATTAAAAAAAAACTTTTTGGTAGATCCAACGGCTGTGATGATTTTGACACTGTTTTAACGGAAAAAAATGATCCAACGGCTGAAATTTAAATCCAACGGTTGAAATAATTCATTTTATTTTTCACTTATTTTTAATTAATATTTTTCTCAAAATTTATTTTTAATGAAATTTATTTATTTTTACATCGAAATGTGTCTTTTTTATTTTATAATTAATCAGAGAAAAAATTTAAAGGAAAACATTACTTATAATAATTTAATTAATGTTTTACTAAATTGATATGTAAAAAAATGTGTTGAATGTATTTTATTGACGGTGCTGGAATGCAGAGAATAGGAGTCAAAACACTGTTTTCATATCGACGGAGTCCATTTTTAACATTTAGACTCTTGCACCACTCCAAATGGTCTTACCGTGACTAGCCTGCTGATTATTATCTTTCGGCCTCCCCGCGCTCTCCTCCCAAGAAAACGGTATTCGATTTTCATCCGTGTTGGGGTGGTGAATTAACCTGCGAATTCTGGATGTTGTCCGCGGGCGCCTGGCTGATAAAAGTGGGGCACTAAGATCTAATTTCCTGGAATATTTTCCTTCATTGTGACTGTCTGCTGCTGCTGCTGCCTCCATGCATATGATGCTAACCAGTTGCATTATTGACTTGTACGTTGATATTTGGGGATATCAGTAGTGGCAGTTTAATTGATCGAGATACACATATATTTATGAGTGAATTCCGATCAAGATAACATAAACCTCGTATATATACATAATCTGTATGATTTAAGAAAAATATGCTAGCAGACCATTATTTATATAAGTTGTGGCATGGCATACGTATTACGTACAGCTGGAGAGTGCAGGAAACTCGTGGGCATCAACTACTCCGTAATTTAAAGGAAAACTTTTAGGATGGAGTTCACACTTTTCTTTTAAAACTTTGGGAAAATGAAAATTAATAATCCAACATTTTAGTGATTTTCTTATGATAGTCTGACTTTATCGTACTTCAGGAATTAACAAACCGTTGCACATCATCTTCATTCGTTGGCCCATGACCAGTTGATGACCTGTTATTTCAGGTTTTTTCATTACTTATGCAAATCACTACCATAAATCTCACCTTCTACAAATCTTCTCGAAACGGTCCCACATATGATTTTTATGTTTTCTTCCTAAATTTTTCTTTCCTTTTTATGTATTTATATTCATTGTAGTCTCTTTTTATTATTTTTTCGGGCTACTTGTTTGTATTTGTTCTTTGAATTTTTAGAAAAGAGAAAAATATAGAGGACATTCCTCCAATAGTATTTAATGAAACTTTAATTGCAAGAATATGAGTATAATTTCAAAATTTCTTAAATAAGACTAGCTTTCGAATACTATCCTTGCTTTGTTTAGTGCAATTCATATTTCATTAATAATTAAAACATAAAAGTAATAACATCACCTTATTTATAATAAAAATGTAGCAAAATAAAAACATGAAAAATAAATATTAAATAAAATTAATAAAAAAAATTACAAAAATTAAAACTATAAAATTAAAAACTCAAAAATATAAAATCAAAAAATAAAAAAAAAAAAAAAAAAAAATATGCAGGCATCTGCTGCCGCTTCAACAACCTCTCAACACCACCAGCTCCGACCACTGGAAAATGCCAACGTGTGTTAGTAATGTCATCTCGATGACAAATTTTTAGAAAATTTTGGCATTTTTAGAGAAAAAATGTAGTGTTTATATAAAATGATATTTTTTTCGCCGACTAGAGTTGGCGTTGCTAGGAGGTGGCGAGACTGCGGCAAAGACCATTATTGGCGAACAAGCTATATAATTGTTAAAAAAAGCTATATAAATGTTATTATACACAATAATAAATCATTGGGATTATTGTTAGCGGATCGACAATTAGTGATTTTATTATTTTCAGTTTTCCCTTATTAATATTATAATGCAATTCGAGCATTTACCCGTGCCGTGCACGGGATAAAATGAAATTCATCTGGGCAGAAATGGACTAACTATCCATGCCATAAATTTTAATTAGATTGTGTTTGAGACAAATAAAATTAAATATAATTCATAAGTTGATTATATGTGTACTTATTGTTCTTACAATAAGATGATAGCTGAAATTATATTTAGATAAAGATGATTAAAGAATTGATTTCATTTGGATGCAACAACAAATTAGCTATGCCTTTTTGAAATTTTCCATCAAAATGTGATATATAGAGCTAGCAATAGTGTGTTCAGACCGTTCAAAATAAGATTCACTCGAAAAAATGTGTAATCATATATTGTTGTAATCAATTAAATTCAAACTTAATTGTCTATAATTATATAAACTGACGCGAACATATGTACATCATTACCTTTCTCCCAAAAAGGTTTGTGATATTAACGCTGGATGATGATTTTAATTATTGCATTTGTATATATTTTATAACTTTTATGTGTTTATGAAAATATTTTTAAAAAGGAACATTTTAATATAATTTTCATATTCATAATAAATTCATATTAAAATATCATTTGTCAAAGTTGCCTATAATTGATAAAAAAAAGTTAATTTGACAAATCTTTTTATGTTTGAGGGACTAGAGCAAAATTAAAAATTAGATGTCCTTTTATTCTGTGCACGACATGAGTTGAAATGTAATACTAGATAGTCAATTTATATATATCTTTTTATTCTAAATTGAATCGAACAACTTCGGATGAGTTATATCTACCTTGTAAAATATTCTAACTTTTGTTTTAACATATTTAAACAGTTAATTTATCAAAAGGATAACTTGCGTATGTATAGAAGAGTAATACATGGAGATTGGTTAAATACTTTTTCATCCGTTATAAATGTGTCATCTTTCTTTTTTAGTTATTTTAAAATTGTCATTTTTTCCTCTAATCAAAATTGTCACTTTGAGTAGGCTTGAGTCTGGATCAAATCGAACTTGGCTTGAATAACTTGTCGAACTAAAAATCTAACTCTTGTTCGAGTTTCGAAACTCATTAAACTCGGATCGATTCGGTAACTTCACCTTGTGTGTGGTGAAAAAATTTAATACTTAGTTCACCCCATGTTTAGGTTCATTATTGGCACTACAAAAAAACATCGAAATAGGCACGGACTTGGCACAGATTGGGCAAGTTTGGCATGGACTCTAACTTATTTTTGGCACAGCGCCGTGCCAAATAGCTGGTGACAAAACGACTTTGGCACGGAATTTGTCAAGGATTTAACGCATCCGTGCCAAATACCCTATGAATTTTGGCAAATCCGTGCCAAAGCTCCGTGCCAAATCCGTGCCAAAATTGTTGTTTTTTTGTAGTGTGGATTTGTGAAATAAACGACCTTTTGAGTTGGATTTAAAGGAGATGTAGCAGTAATACACATTGCCGCAATGTATCACTCTTTGAATGGGGTGATCGATCTTAAGGATGGTCTCGAAATTCGGGAAACATTTGAAAGTTGGTCTGCTACGGGGCATCCCATTCCAACAATCCTCAATTAACTCTCTTGAGTTCATGAGGATCAAGTTTCAGTGAGGCCCCTGAAGGGCGGGTGTTCATTAAGTGCATATATTCGACTGTTGAGTGCAATATTTATTGATTGAATATTGCATCTAAAAAGAAATAGGTGAATCATGAAAAATAATTTTGAATTGCGTACATTTATTTTTAAATTGGGTATCTAAATTATGTGAGAGAATAATAAACTTGGAAAGAAGATTAAATAATATGAACTATTTATTAGAGTAATTGGGAGTTACGAATCCTTATTAATGATTAGCCTAATTTTTAGGAAGTCTTCCTATAATGGTGTACGTGTAAGATAACAACTTGGATTAACTTTGCCATTATGCCCTTTAGTAAATGTTAAAATGCACGTTACCTTATATACTACTCAAATCATCCGAAAATAATGCACCATTTTCTCCTTTTTTAAATATTTCTAGACCATCGGATTAGAACTATTAAAGGTTAATCAATGGTTTGATTTGAATCTTTTTTCCTCTCCTAAGAGGGTGTTCTCAAAGGAACTAACCCCTATATACATACATACATATATATATATATATATATATATATATATATATATATATATATATATAGTCACTTCTTTGAAATGAGCTTCAATTTAGTCGTGAAAAATCAATTTAATATGACGACATTGCGACGAATGCAAAAAGCATCCACAAGTGTGAATCAATTTTTTTCCACACTGCAAGTATTTGAGCGTATCAACATTTTTATGCTTCACGAATAGATTGTCAACAAAGTCTAATGTGTTAGCCATTCCTTAGGATTGATTTCATTGTGGCAAAAAAAATATCTGAAACACTACTAACTATTATTTCAGAGCAAAAACTCCGATAGTATAGTTTATTTGTTATTTACTTATATTTTGTCAATGTGAAACTTTTGAGATGTCATGTAATATATTGTTCTTTGATTTGATGTTGACCTTTTTGAATGAGAACTTTTTTTGAAAGGTTTTTTTTTTCTTTTTAGATACTAGGAGGTAATCCTTAAGTCCCTCCATCGCATAAAATTCTTCTCAATTTGACTTGGATAGGAGATTAAGAAAGTATGAATAAAGTGAACTTTTCAAAAAAGAGATAAGTTGGACCTGTTAAAAGAAAGTAAGAAAATTTTCTCAATTTGACTTGGATCCGTATGGTTGTGGTTGAGTAAAAAAAGATAAAAGGAATGCTACCAACACAAAACGTTTCAAAAATGGAAATGAGAAGAATTTTTTGGACATTTCAAAATGATAGGTTGGACAAATTTTAAGTGACGGATGAATGTTACCGACATTTTTATCCATGTATATCTATATATTACATATCAAATGAAAACCATGCTTGACGTGAAAGCTTGAGAACACACACGTTTACCCCAATATGATGCACAATAAGGCTCACCAGTTGTACTTATTCGTTTTAAGAGTAATATTTACAAAAATACAACCACGATTATTTAGTATTGAGTTGGTATCAGCAAAAGTTAAAAAGCGTCTCAGATGGTCTCCATTGTGCACACCACATTGACTTAAATGCAAGTGTTCTCGCGTTCTCACATTAGGCACCGTTCTCAATGCAATTGAATCATATATATAGTCACTTCTTTGAAATGAGCTTCAATTTAGTCAGGGAAAAATCAATGTAATATGACGAAGTTGCGACGAATGCAAAAAAGCATCCACGAGTGTGAATCAAATATTTTCCACACCGCAAGTATTTGAACATATCAACATTTTTAGAAATATGCTTCACAAATAGATTGTCAACAAAGTCTAGCTTGTTAGCCATTCCTTAGGAATGATTACTTCACTAATTACGGTATGTATGTGTAGTCTGATCCCACCTGTTGCCTTGAATGAACAATAATTAATTGAACATCAATTAATTCTCTTTCAATTAAGGAAACAGGTCGGCTCAAATTAAATATATATAATATGTAACTATTTTTACCAGAAAATAAAAACAGTCAATTATTAGGGATCAAATAAAGTGACAAATCACAAAACAGAACAATTCAAAATCAAAATCCCACCAACTACGATGACTGGTTGATTGTGTCAAAATACATAGGCCATCCACAAGTTTTTGAGCCAGAGTCCAACCCGCTATATGTCAACTTGTAATTAAAATATAATCACATCCACCAAGTAAATTGTTCGTCCGGTGCTGGAAGCCTACATATGCAACTGAGATAATCAACGGGTTACCCCGTTGATTTTATTTTTCTGTTCTTATCAATTGGTC